AGGAATTCTGATGGAATTTCCAGTCTTGGAATATTCAAATGAAGAGAAGAGTTTCATTTACACCAAAAAGAGACCTAAAAATTCTCAAAGAGCGCTAAAAAATCCGGAATTCGGATTAAATTTTCGAGAAAAACGAGTTAATTCTTATGAATTTTCAAAAAATTTCGCATCGCCAACCTTTCCAGATCGCCAACTTGGTGTGTGGACGGCTGGCCATTCGGTGCTGAAAAACAATTCGAACCAATCCAACGAAGCAAATGAAACGGTCGCCTATGTGTGGATGCCTCAGCATTATCTCCTGCAAAAGGATTTCTGGGAGCCCGGCGAACCGAAAAAATTCCCAAATATGAGTGGTGAGTGCTCTAGGATCCGGATCTAATTCCCAGAATCCCAGAATCTAGGCCAGTCTCTCGATATCCTTAATATCCAGGACGTCGATTCAGTCCATCCTTATGAGCGATAAGCATGACACACAGTTACCTCATTCAAAATCTTTTCGAAACGTAATAGATATCTAAACTGTTCAGTTCTATTAAAATATGAATAAATAAGGATCAGTTGATAGATTCAATTCGAAATCCCACTTGAAATTGGATTTATTTGAAAGTAAGCAAAAAATTTGACCTGAATTAAAATTTGAGCCGAAAAATTTGAATTGAGAACCCAGAAAACAAATTTGAACGATCAAATTGCAGCGGTTTGTATCTACTTGGGATGGCAATCGTCATTTGTCGATTGGATTACATCACCGTGTGAAATAAATCGTTACTATTTATGTCATCGCGATGCAACCAATGAAGGTAGATGAGACTTCATCTGCTTGAGATTATCAAGGATTTGAGATTTTCCTGGATTTAGGAAATCTCACTGTCATAAATTTATCAGATCGCCTTGATGAGATATCATTTGAATGTATGATGGCAGTCAAACGAGAGAGAGAGGAGAACAGTAGAATTGATAGCGAAGAAGGCATAAAGATCAGTTGATATCAAAAAATCATTGGAGATCAATGAATATCCGAAAAATCCAGGATATCAAGGACGAAGTGAAGTCTAGGCCTCTCGAATCGAGACCCAGATCCGTTTCAGAAATGTGTAATGCTAGGCTGAGAAAAAATTCAAAGCAGGTGATCATTTGCAGGTGATCAATTGATGTACGCACAATGCCTTTGTGTGAACGGGTATCGAGGTGAATTCTGTGAAGAGCATCCTCAAACGGCAGGTAAGTGGAGGGGGGGGGGCAAGGACAGGTTTAATTAAAAATGAGAATTTGGCGATTGCTGGGATCCTTCTGGATTCAGTTGAGGTCTCAGAAGGGTTATTGGAATGGTTTTTCGACGACACTAGAAAAGGGCTTTCTGAAGGCTTTGTGGTCGATACCCGTGGGTTCACTTCGAATGCTGGCCGACTTGCACTGAATGATCGAGCAAATTAATCGAAATCCATTGATGTGTTTTATGAGCTACCAACCGATTTGGGCAATCTTACGGGTAAAACATTTACCCGAAAGAGTTTGTAAAACCATTTTCATGGTTCCCGTATTCAGACGGTCCATCAGA